CCTAAATGTAAGACCCGAATCTGCAAAACTCCTAGAAGAAAACATAGTATGAGAAAAGCTCTTTGACATTGGTCTTGGCAATAATTTTTTTGCAGATAATACAAAAGCACAGGAAACAAACGGAAAAATAAACAAGTGGAATTGGATCAAATTAAAATGCTTCTGCACATCAAAGGAAACAACCAAATGAAAAAGCAGCCTATGGATTGGGAGAAAATATTTGTGAACCATATATCTGACAAAGTGTTAAAATTCAAAATATATAAGGAGCTCAAACTGGCTACCAAAAAAAAAGTAACCCAATTAAAAAATGGACAAAAGACCTGAATAAAGATTTCTCCAAAGAAGACCTAAAAATGGCCAACAGCAAAAAAGATGCTCAGTATCACTAGTCATCAGGGAAAATCAAGTCAAATCGCTGTGAGATACCACCTCAAGCTTGTTAGGATGGCTGTCATCAATGAGAGGAGATAATGAGTGTTGGTGAGGGTGTGGAGAAAGGGGAACTCTGTACAGTTGGTGAGAATAGCTGGTGCAGCTGTTATATAAACAGTAGGAGGTATGTCAAAAAGTTAAGAATAGAACTACTTCATGACTCTTCGATCCCTCTTCTGAGTATGTATCCAAAGGAAATGAAGTCAGCACCTCATAGAGATGATCTACACTGCCATGTCCATTGCAGCATTATTTACAACAGCCAAGATAACAGAAGCAACCTAAATGTCTGTCAAGAGATGAATGGATAAAGAAATTGTGATATCTACCTATCTATCTATGTATCTGTCTATCTCATGTATATAATATATATATATAACTCATATATATGTGTCACATATGTATGTGTATATAAAGGAATATTCAGCTTTAAAAAAAGAAGGAAGTCCTGCCATTTGTGACAACATGAATGAAACTGAAGAACATTATGTTAAGTAAAATAAGCCAGACACAAAACAAAAAATACTGCATGATCTCTCTTATATGTGGAAATCTAAAAAAAAAAAGTTGAATAAAGGCACAAGGTTGCAGTTATGTAGGATGAGTAAATACAGAGATCTAAGGTACAACAGGAGGACTATAGTGAACAATATTGTATACAGGAAAATTTTTAAGAAAGTAGGTTTTAGGCGAGGCGCGGTGGCTCACACCTCTAATCCTAGCATTCTGGGAAGCCAAGGCGGGCTGATTGCTCGAGGTCAGGAGTTCAAAACCAGCCTGAGCAAGAGCAAGACCTCCGTCTCTACTATAAATAGAAAGAAATTAATTGGCCAACTAATATATATATAGAAAAAATGAGGCGGGCATGGTGGTGCATGCCTGTAGTCCCAGCTACTTGGGAGGCTGAGGCAGCAGGATTGCTTGAGCCCAGGAGTTTGAGGTTACTGTGAGCTAGGCTGACACCACGGCACTCACTCTAGCCTGGGCAACAAAGCGAGACTCTGTCTCAAAAAAAAAAAAAAAAAG